TTTTTGAGACGGAGTCTCATTCTGTTGCCCAGGCTGAAGTGTAATCACGTAATCTCGGCTCACTGCAACCTCTGCCTACTGGGTTCAAGTGATTCTTCTGCCTTAGCCTCCTGAGTAGCTGGGATTACAGGCACATGCCACCACACCTGGCTAATTTTTGTAATTTTGATAGAGACAGGGTTTCATCATGTTAGGTCAGGCTGGTCTCCAACTCCTGACCTTGTGATCCACCCGCCTCGGCCTCCCGAAGTGCTGGGATTACAGGCATGAGCCACTGCGCCTGGGCTATGCTTTTACTTTCAAATTCCACTGTTCATTGATGCTATCTTGGAAATGTTAATGTTAATGTTGTATCCTGTGCTTTTTTTTTGGTTAATATTGTATTAATATTAATGTTAATATTTTAATTTTTTATTTTTTTATTTTTTATTTTTTTATTTTTTTTAATGTTAATATTGTATCCTGTGCTCCTGCTACAATCACTTATTAGTTCCAGGAGTTTGTTTTGTTGATTCTGATGGATTTTCTTTCTCTTTCTTTTTTTTCTAATTTTTATTTATTTATTTTTAGTTGACAAGTAGTTACGTATATTTATGGAGTTCAATGTGACATTCTGATCTATGTATACATCATAGAAAGATTAAATCAAGCTAATTAAGATATCCATGACCTCACCAATTTATAATTTTTTTTCTGGTGATAACATTTAAAATCTATTCTTTTAGAACTTTGAAATATACAAGACATCATTATTATTTTATTATTATTATTATTATTATTACTGTTATTTGAGATGGGGTCTTGCTCTGCCACCCAGGCTGGAGCACAGTGACGTAACCTTGGCTCACTGCAATCTCTGCCTCCTAGGCTCAAGTGATCCTCCCACCTCAACCTCCTGAGTAGCTGGGACTACAGATGCTCACCACCACACCTGGCTAATTTTTTGTATTTTTGGTAGAGACAGGATTTTGCCATGTTGCCCAGGCCAGTCTTGAACTCCTGAGCTCAAGCAATCCACCTGCCTCTGCCTCCCAAAGTGCTAGGGTTACAGGCGTGAGCCACCTCACCCAACTGAAATATACAATAATTATTAACTGCAGTCACCATGCACTACAATAGATTACTAAAATTTATTTCTCCAGTGTAACTGAAACTTTGTACCCTTGATCAACATCTTTCCTTTCCTTCCCTATCTCTCCCCCTCGTCCAAGCCTCTGGTAACTGCCTTTCTAGGCTCTGTTTCTATGCAATTGACATTTTTGAATTCCACAAATAGTGAGATCACACAGTATTTGGCTTTCTGTGCCTGGCTTATTTCGCTTAACATAATGTCCTCCAGTTCCGTCCATGTTGTTGCAAATTACAGAAAATTTTGAGACTGTTAATACTGTATATTACATTGTTTGATTTTCAAATATTAAACCAGCCTTACACTCCAGTGATACACCCTACTTGGACATGGTGTATTATTCATTTCATGTGTTGCTGGATTCAGTTTCCATGCCTAATATTTTGTTGAGAATTTTAGTGTCTATGAGATATACTGGTCTGTAGGGTTTTGGTTTTTGTTTTGTTTTGTTTGTAATATATCTGTGTGGTTTTTATATCAGGGTATTGTGGACCTGTTAAAATAAGTTAGGAAATGTATTCTCCTCTTCTATTTTTTAGATGAGATTATACAGCTTTTCTTGTTTGTGTGTTTTTTTTTTCTTTTAATGTTTGGCAGAATTTTCCAGTGAAACCATCTGATTCTGAAGTTTTTATATTTTGGAAATTTTTAATCTATAAATTCAATTTTTTCAATAGTTATAAAACTATTCAGGTATTCTAGTTTATCTTGAGTAAGTTTTTGGAAGTTTGTATTTTTTGAGGAATGGCTTCATTTAAAAAAAAGTGGTCTAATTTATATACATTGAGTTGTTTATAGCATTCCCTTATTACCCTAATGTCTGAGGGGTCAGTAGTGATATCCCATCTTTTATTTTTGATATTGGTAATTTGCACCTTCTTTCTTTTTTCTTTACCAGTCTTGCTAGAAGTTCGTCTTTTTTTAGGCCTATCAATTTTATTTTTCCAAGGAAACAGCTTTTAGTTTCAATAATCTTTTTTATTATTTTTGTTTTCAACGGATTTCTGTTCTTATTTTTATCATTTCCTTCCTTCTGCTAGCTTTGGTTTATCTTGCTCTTCTTTTTCTAGTTACTTACGGTAGAAACTTGGATGATTTATTTTAGAACATTCTCCTTTTTTAATGCTACAAATTTCTCCTTTATAGTTGTACCTCACAAGTTTTGTTCAATTTAAAGTACTTTATAATTCCTTTGAGACTCCTCTAGGACCCATGGATTATTTATAAGTGTGTTGTTTAATGTTCTAGTCACTGGAAATTTTCTTGTTATATTTTTATTGTTATTTCTAATTTAATTCCATTATGGTCATAAAAGGCACTTTGCATGATTTTGCTTCTTTTCAATTTATTGAGGTTTGTTTTATGACTCAGAATAAGATTCACCTTGGTAAGTGTTCTATTTGCAGTAAAAAAGAATGTGTACTCTGCTGTTATTGAATGGAATATTTTATCAAGGGATCAAGTTGCCTTTGTTAAAAGTCAGCTTTGGCAGGGCTGTTACTTTGCTAGACATATCCCTCTCCATGGATAAGCAGCAAGTTCTGCAATGGGATTCCTAGTGAGTGTCGCTTCCACTTTTCCCCTGCAGTGGCTTTCAAAGTATGGTTCCAGGACAAAGCAGCATTCTCATTAACTGAGAATGTGTTAAAAATGCAAAATATTGAGGCCTCGCTCCAGACCTGACTCAGAAACTCTGGGAATGGGGCCCAGAAATCTGTGTTTTAACAAGCCCTCCTGGCAGTTCTGATGCTTGCTAAACTTGGAAAACTACTGTGAATATCCTACAGAAATCTCTCCCTGTAGCTCACATTTGGATGGCACCTTCTTTAGTTTCCAGTAGAGACACATGTTTTTCCTTTATTATCTGCCTTTGATCATTTAGTGGGAGTTAGAATAGGCAGACGTGGTTAGTTGCATGGCCTCACATTGCTTCTTTGCCTAAAAGTTATCTGTTTACATTCATGGGGCTGAAGATCATTCATGAACCTTGAAGAATGACTTCAGCAATGTTTCTTAGAACTCTGGAATGTCCGGACTGGATAGGACCCTAGAAGTTATTAATATTTTCTGCAACCTCCATATTTGAATCTTGACTGAGTTGACTGTATCCACAGGGCTACAAAAATTTCCACCTGCTGTCTCATCCTTTAAGATCAGAGTTAGAATTTCAGAATATAGCCTTGCCATAAGCTATGAGGTGAGAAGCTACCAAGGCATGTGGATAAAGGGATCCATAACTGCTCTTCAGATAGCAGTGTCTAAAATCCCTGGATTGTTTTATATTCTTCTCTCTTGTTGTAGATATAGATTTGTCAGTTCAGGCTGTCTCTAGATAATCATAACCAGAGGGAAATTTCTTCTAACAGAAATTCTACTACTCCTTTTTGCCTGAGTGATTGCAAATAACCCAGGCAAGTCACTCTGTTTGTGCTTCACTCTTACAACTATAGAGTGGGAACAATGAAGTGTTAGCCTTACCTAATTTATTCATCCTACTGGGAAAGTCACTGTGATAATTCAGCCAAACCCTCCCAAGTAGAGGCTACTCACTTGTCGCGTAGGTGCCTTTCTATTCTAGCCCGGCACCTACAATATTTCCTGGTGCATGAAAGATACTTTTTTTTAAAAAAATTTAAATTTTTGATTACTTAACACAAATGTTGGGTTGATGAAGCGTGTGAAATTAATGAAGTTATATTTAGTTTCAGCACTCCTGAAAGAAAAGTGTCTTTGAGTAAGTTAGCAACATCACATAGCAAGAGTTAATACCAATTTGAAATATCCAAGCAGGGGCAGTAGCATGGAAAGGTCTTGGCCAGGTATGAAACCCAAATGCTAAAGGTTCTTAGCAAAATAAAGGAAGGGGAAGGAAATTAGTGTTTTGGAGCAAGTTTAAACAATGAGGTGTTACTCTTTGTTTTTAAAATATATATATTTTTTGACAGAGTCTCACTGTGTTGAGGCTGGAGGGCAGTGGCACTATCCTGGCTCACTGCAACCTCCACCTCCTGGGCTCACGTGATCCTTCCACCCCAGCCTTCCAAATAGGTGGGACTACAGAGCGTGCCACCACGCCTGGCTAATTTTTTGCATTTTCAGTAGAAATGAGGTTTAACCATGTTGCCCAGGCTGATCTTGAACTCCTGACCTTAAGCAACCTGCCTGCCTCAGCCTCCCAAAGTACTGGGGTTATAGACGTGAGCTACTGTGCCCTGCCCTGTTTTTAAAATAATTTCAAACTTACATAAAAATTGCCGGAACAAAACGGAGACCTCTCATATCTCCATTCACCTTTCCCCAATGTTTAATATTTCACGACTTTTGTGAAGCACTTTTTATTACTATTATAACAGCTTCTAAAAGCGATAACAATTTTTTTTTCTTTTTTATTTTTCTTCTTATTTTTGTAGAGACAGGGTCTTACTATGTTGCCCAGCCTGGTCTCAAACTCCTAGGCTCAAGCAGTCCTCCCACCTTGGCCTCCCCAAATGCTGGGATTACAAGTGTAAGCCACTGCAACTGGCCGAAAACAAAACAAAACAAAACAAAAAACTATTGATATGCTAATTGTACATCCATTACGTGCCAGGCATTATGTTAGCCACTATACATTATCTCACTGAATTTCCACAATCACCCTCCAGGGTATCCATTATTACCCGTGTGTCACAGGAGTTACTGTTGAGGCTTAGAAAAGTCCTATATCATACCAAAGGTTCCACTGGCTAAGTGCAGGTTTCAGATCCTCAAAGCCTATATGTGTTCCAGTCTCTAAACGACAGGAGGCACAGCTCTAAGTTCAGGGAATTAAAGGTATGCATGACTAACATCCACATGATGGTCTGACCCTTCCCTCACTCTTCTCTTTCAGGACCCCTCTTCTTACTGAATGCTGAGCAAATTGCAGAGGAGATAGGGAATATGTGGAGGACAACGTATAAACTGATCAAGACCTTATCTGATGTGCCTGCACCCAGGCGCTTAGCAGAGAATTTGAAGATCAAGATCGATAAGTTCAAGCAGTACATTCCCATCCTCAGTATTTCCTGCAACCCAGGAATGAAAGACCGGCACTGGCAGCAGGTTTCTATCAATCACTGCCCGCCCCCGAGCAGCCCAACCCAGGCCTGGCCCTGGCTGTCCTTGGGAAGGCAGGAAATATTACTAGGTCAAGCTTCTCCTTTCCGAAAGGATAATCTACTTAAGGGCAAAGGGATAGCAAATGAGAATGGCAAGGCTTCTGAAGGAAGAGAATGAACTCCCCGCCCCCTGAACAGGTTGGCCCTTTCCTTGGAACCCCCATTGCTCGTGGTTCACTGAGTGTTGTTCCAGCCAATGGTCACAAAGGGTCTCCTTCCTGCTTCCTAAGCAGATGGGCTTTTGGAGGCCAAGAGCCTCCAAAGTGCAACAAGGATGTTCAATATAGTGAGAGGATCTTGATTTGCTCCTTGACCTAGGATGTGCAAAAAAGAAAGTCACATCCCTCCCTGGGGGTTGCTGATAATACCAGATGATTCCCAGTTAGGATGACTTTGGTGTGGCATTTCATTGTCAAACAGGTTCAGAAATAATTCTGCACTCTTCTCTTAGCCCTTTGGGGCTACAAATTAGAATAATAAATTTCTCCTTAAAAATAGCTGGGATTTTTATAAGGAACCAAGTGTGAGGGTGATAAGTGTGGTGTGAACACTAAGCAGAAAAAAGAAAACTCACTGTGTTTCTAAAATAATCATCACATCCAAGGGCTAGCAATGGCCTTGAAACATCCTCTACCAGAGTCACTCTGTGTGGAATTGGAAGTGAAAATGGCTTTCTTTGGGCAGATTCTTCTCTGACTTGGCCTATAATTCCCCCTCTCAGAACCACATTCAAGACCAGGCATGGTGGCTCAATACCACAGTCCCAACACTTTGAGAAGCTGAGGCAGGAGGATAGTTTGAGCCCAGCCTGGGCAACACAGTGAGACCCCCATCTCTCCCTAATTAATTAATTAATTAGCTAAGCGTGGTGGTATACATTTGTGGTCCCAGCTACTTGGGAAGCTGAGGTGAGAAGATTGCTTGGGCCAGGGATGTCAAGACTGCATTGAGCTGTGATCGTGTCACTGCACTCCAGCCTGGGAAAGGGGGGGCGAAAAAAAAACACATATAAGACTGAGGAAATTCTCTCTGAAAGGACCCAGTGACAACACAGTGACAAGGAGCACTTTGCTCTCCCTAGGAAGATAGAGGAAGACTCTCTTAATATGTGAGAGAGTCAGGGTTTTTTTTGTAGGGAGGAGCTACTTTCAGTTGCCCAAAAAGTCTTGAGACTTGAGACCTAAGCAAAGGGTGGAGTGCTGTACAGAGAAGGGACAGGCTGTCTGAGTAGACTTCTGTTTTTTCTTTCTTTTTTTTTTTTTTGAGATGGAATCTCACTGTGTCCCCCAGGCTGGAGTGCAGTGACGTGATATCAGCTCACTGCATTCAAGCAATTCTCCTGCCTCCGTCTCCTGAGTAGCTGGGACTGCAGGCACGTGCCACCACGCCCTGCTAATTTCTGTATTTTTACTAGAGATGGGATTTCACCATGTTGGCCAGGCTGGTCTTGAACTCCTGACCTCAGGTGATCCACCCGCCTCAACCTCCCAAAGTGCTGGGATTATAGGGATGAGCCACTGTGCCTGGCTGGGATATTTTTTAATTGTAATTTTAATTAATTAATTTTTAAAATAGAGATGGGGGAGGGTCTCACTATGTTGCCCAGGCTGGTCTCGAACTCCTGGCCTCAAGTGATACTCCTGCCTTGGCCTTCTAAAGTGCTGGGATTACAGGCGTGAGCCACGGTGCCTGGTCATGACTTCTGGTTTCAAAACGCCCCAGCAGAGGGATCTGCAGAGTGGGAGTTGCTGTCAGTTGGTGATCATGGGGTGCCTTTCTCTACGGACCCAGCCTAACTAGGACTTTGACCTGCATCGGGGGGTAAGGGGGGATTAGGGAGCTTAGGTGGGGCAGTAGCCTCTGGTAGTGCCAGGTTTCTCTATGAGATGGCACTATCAAGAGTGTCTTCGTTGATGGTGTTTGGAGAACATGCCGCAGGGCTGGGAAAGCCATCTGCTCCGCCTGATGCTTCCTCTATGATGCTATTCTCGTATGTGGGCACTCAAGAAATCCCACCCAGGCCAAGCGTGGTAGCTTATCATGCCACTAATCTCAGCACTTTAGGAGGCCGAGGCAGGAGGATCACTTGAGGCCAGGAGCTTGAGGCCAACCTGGGCAATGTAGTGTGACCCCGTCTATTTAAAAAATTAATTAATTTAAAATTAAATTTAAATTTTAAAAATTCCAGCCAGGTGCAGTGGCTCACACCTGTAATCCCAGGACTTTGAGAGGCCGAGGCAAGTGGGTCGCTTGAGCCCAGGAGTCTGAGAACCAGCCCGGGCAACACTGCAAAACCCCCATCAAGAAATACAAAAAAATTAGCCAGGCATGGTGGCAGCATGCCTGTAGTCCCAGCTACTAAGGAGGCTAAGGTGGGAGATCACTTGAGCCTGGGAGGTTGAGTCTGCAGTGAGCTGTGATTGCGCCACTGCAGTCCCGCCTGAGCGACAGAGCAAGACCCTGTCTCAATAAATAAATAAATAAATAAAGACATTCTAACCATTCCTAGACATTCATAATTCTCATTTATGGGCCACTTAAATGATTGGAAAAATATTTCTTACAATGATAATAAAATAATAATAATGATAATATTGAAAATGTACTGAGTACCAGCCATGGTGCTGGGTTCAGTGTTGCATACTTTATTTGGATTCTCACATTTCATCCTTAAAACCGGCCTTTGAAGTGGAGATTATGATCATCTCCATTTCACGGATAGGAAAACTGAGAGTTGGAGAGAGGAGTTGTCAGATGGCTAGTTGGTGGTGGGGAAGGGGATTGGAATTTTTCTACGCTGTTTGACTCAGCCTGGAAGTCAAGAAGGCAAAAAAGTTCCGGTCAGAGGAAGGGAGCAGGCAGTAGGTGGCAGTAAACCACAGTGAGAGGGGCCAGGGAGCTCAGCCCCAGGACAGTGGCTCCCAAGGAGTGAGCACCTAAATGGAAGCCCAGTGGGCTGAGCAGTTAAGAGGCAAGTTCAGAAAGGACAAGGGCCCCCAGATACTCTCCGGGCTGCCCCTATGCAGAGCCCATTCCTCCCTGCAGTGTATATAGGTCATACCACAGGCCACCCCGGGGAGAGCCCCACGCCTGGGGATGTCATTCTCTGCCCGGATGCCTAACTCAGGAGATCCACTGCCATGGATGCCGGCTCTGGCAGGGGGATCTGAAGGATGAACCACCCGTAGCACTCAAGTCTAGAAGCTGGGTCTTCTGAAGCCAGGCTGGGAGTTCTGGTCATTTACAGAACATAGGCAGAAAAAGTTAGAGCCTTATGTTTGGGGCACAGACTTTATAGATAACAGCAAAGGGGTCGCTACTGCGGTTTAAAGCAAAATGGAAGCCACAAATCTAAAAGGCTTTTTGGATCACCACACTAAGGTACATTTCTGATGTCCTGTTTGCAATTAGTGTTATTTTGGTTATTTTTTCATCATGTGCCTATAACACTGTTGGTCTTCCAAGACCGTTATTTCAACGGTAACTACTTCTGGGTTCCTTGCTTTTGTGCTTTGTCTGTCTAAAAAAGTCTCCTGGTCTGGCTAGGCACGGTGGCTGAGGCCTGTAATCCCAACGGTTTGGGAGGCTGAGGCAGACACATCACCTGAGGTCAGGAGTTTGAGACCAGTCTGGCCAACATAGTGAAACCCCATTTCTACTAAAAATTCAAAAATTAGCCAGGTGTGGTGGCGCGCGCCTGTAATCCCAGCTACTTGGGAGGCTGAGGCAGGAAAATCATTGGACCCAGGAGACGGAGATTGCAGTGAGCCGAGATTGCGCCATTGCACTTCAGCCTGGGCAACAGAGCAAGACTCTGTCTCAAAAAAAAAAAAAAGTATGGAAAAAGAAAAATTTTAAAAATAATAAAAATTTAACTGTTAAAAAAAAAAAAAAACAAGATGGAACAAGGTAACATTTGATCTTAGGGAGAAACTGCACTGATAGATGCCAAAACTGGCCCTCTGTGAGTAGTAGAAATATAACGTGAGCCATTTGTGTAATTTTTTTTTTTTTTTTGAGATGGAGTCTCACTCTGTTGCCCAGGCTGGAGTGCAGTGGTGCAATCTTGGCTGATTCCTGCCTCTGCCTCCCAGGTTCAAGCTGTTCTTTTGCCTCAGCCTCCCAAGTAGCTAGGATTGCAGGCACCCGCCACCATGCCTGGCTAATTTTTGTATTTTTAGAAGAAACAGAGTTTCACAATGTTTGACAGGCTAGTCTTGAACTCCTGATCTCATGTGATCCGCCCGCCTCAGCCTCCCAAAGTGCTGGGATTACAGGAGTGAGCCACCGCACCCAGCCAATAATTTTAAAGTTTCTAGTAGTCACATTTTAAAAGGTAAAAGGGTCTGGGCATGATAGCTCACACCTGTAATCCCAGCATTTTGGGAGATCAAGGTGGGAGGATAGCTTGAGGCCAGGAGTTCAAGACCAGCCTGAAAAACATAGTGAGACCCCATCTCTACAAAAAAATTTTAAAAAAGAAAAAAATTAGCCAGGCATGGTGCTGTATGCTGGTGGTCCCAGCTGCTCAGGAGGTCGAGGCAGGAGGACCACTTGAGCCTGGGAGATCAAGGCTGCAGGGAGTCATGATCACACCACTGCATTTCAGCCTGCGCAACAGAGCAAGACCCTGTCTAATTAAAATCAGCTGGGTGTGGTGGCTCACTCCTGTAATACGACTACTTTCGGAGGCTGAGGTGGGAGGATCGCTTGAGGCCAGGAGTTTGAGACCACTCTTAGCAACACAGCAAGACCCTATCTCTACAATAAATTTAAAAATTAGCCAGGCATGGCGATGTGTGCCTGTGGCCCCAGCTACTGGGGAGGCTGAGATGGGAGGATTGCTTGGGCCTGGGAGGTCAAAGCAGCAGTGAGCTATGATGGCACTATTGCACTCCAGCTTGGGAGACAGGGTGAGACTCTATCTCAAAAATATTTTTTAATTTAATTTAAAAATAAGTTCCTCAGTCACACTAGCCACATCTCCGGTGCTCAACAGCCACCTGCCGCTTGTGGCTATTGTGCTGAGCAGTGCAGAAAAAAAACATCTCCATCATCACAGAAGGTTCTACGGACAGCACTGCCTTGAACAATAAACACTTGCTTTCCTCTTTTCTTTGCAGATCAGTGAGATTGTCGGCTATGAGATAAAGCCCACCGAAACGACCTGCCTCTCAAATATGCTCGAATTTGGATTCGGCAAATTCGTTGAAAAGTAAGGGCTTATCCCCCCCTTCAGGAAGGGTTTTGGTCAAAGGATCTGTAAGTTCCCACAGTGATCCGATTGGCCCCATATAGTGCTGTTTATTTTATTCTTTTCCTTGTGGCGTAGGGTGGCTTAAGGCTACTTAATTACCTCCAACTCCCAACTCGTATTGGTGAAGCTTCTGTTTTTAGCTGCAGAACTGCTGATGGGTTATGACTAGAAAATTGAGTCATGGATTTTATTTCAAAGGGAATTTTTTTTTTAATGTTTTTTGAACCTGAGCTTCAAGCCCAGCTCTCAGTGATTGGGGACAAAACCATTCAACCTTTCTGTACCTCAGTTTCCTCTTCTTTAAACAAACAAAGCAACAACACTCTCTGAGCTTTAAGACTGTATGAAACCTGGTCCAAGAAAAAGTCTGTTCTCGCCTGGGCATCGTGGCTCATGCCTGTAATTTCAGCACTCTGGGGGGCCAAGGCAGGCAGATCAGTTGGGGTCAGGAGTTCAAGACCAGCCTGGCCAACATGGTGAAACACCCATGTCTACTAAAAATACAAAAGTTAGCCAGGCACGGTGGCACACACCTGTAGTCCCAGCTACTCAGGAAGCTAAGGCCAGAGGATGGCTTGGACCCAGGAGGCAGAGGTTGCAGTGAGCCAAGATAGTGCCATTGCACTCCAGCCTGGGCGACAGAGTGAGACTCTATCTTAACTAAAAAAAAAAAAAAAAAAAAAAAAAAAAAAAGGTCTCTTCTCTTGCTTTCTTCCCTTCTCCGAATTCCCCTGGAGTTTGTGTGTGTGAGAATTTTGCTATTTGAATGCTATTTCTAGAACAGAGCTTCTCAGGACCCTGCTTGCTTTTCCACACCTCCTTCAGGGTGATGGGTGGGGAGATGTTACATTGCCTGGACTGGAGACCCTGTTAGGCAGGTGTGACACCCAGACCCGCTACATCAGCATCAGCTAGGAACTAGCTAGAAGGTACATTTTCAGGGCCCACCCAACCCACATAATCAAATTCTGTGGATGGGCCCTGCAATCTGCATTTTAACAAATCCTCCAGGTCAGCACTGTCCAAAGCAGCATCCACTGGCCATGTGTGGCCACTGAGCCCCTACAGTGCAGCTAGTCTGAATTAGATGTGCTGTAAGTATAAAATACAGGCTTGATTTCGAAGACATACTACAAGAAAAAGGAATGCAAAATACCTAACAATTTTTAATGTCAATTAATATTGAAATGATAATATTTTGGATATGTTGAGTCAAATACATTATTGGAACTAATTTCACCTATATCTTTTAATATTTTTTAAATGTGGCTACTAGAAACTTTATTTTATTTTATTTTGGAGACGGAGTCTCACTCTGTCACCCAGGCCAGAGTGCAATGGTGTGATCTCAGCTCACTGCAACCTCCGCTTCCCATGTTCAAGCGATTCTCCTGCCTCAGCCTCCCAAGTGGCTGGGATTACAGGCTCCCTCCCACCACCACGCCTGGTTAATTTTTGTATTTTTGGTAGAGATGGGGTTTCCCATGTTGGCCAGGCTGGTCTTGACCTCCTGACCGCAGGTGATCTGCCCACCTCAGCCTCCCAAAGTGCTGTGATTACAGGTGAGAAACTTTAAAATTATATATGTGGCTCACTTTATATTTCTAATGGACAGCACTGCTCCAGGTGATTCTGATACATGAAAGGCTGAGAATTCCCCACTCATACTGCACCAGAGCAGGTCTAATTTAAGGCACTTCCCAGCTCTTGAATCTCTCTGTCACCTAAATACTTTGATGCCTCTCCAGTACCACCGCTATCTTCCTTATTAAGGAGCAGGCCTAGAGAAGCATACGTTTTTATCAGGCTTAGGATAAAAATCCTTAGGTTTTTTTGGCCAAAGGGCCTCACTTTCCCCAAGTAAGATCTTTCCAAGAGACACTAGCTATTCAACACTTATGCTGCACTCAGCATTTTGTATACCTTAACCCTTTTTATTTATTTATTTATTTATTTATTTATTTATTTATTTATTTATTTTTTATCTTTTGAGACAGAGTGTCACTCTGTCTCCCAGGCTGGAGCGTAATGGTGCAATCTCAGCTCACTGCAACCTCCGCCGCCTGGATTCAAGCAATTCTTCTGCCTCAACCTCCCAAGTGGCTGGGATTACAGGCACCTGCCATCATGCCTGGCTACTTTTTGCATTTTTGTAGAGATGGGGTTTCATCATGTTGGCCAGGCTGGTCTTGAACTCCTGATCTCAGGTGATCCCTCTGCCTTGGCCTGCCAAAGTGCTGGGATTACAGGCATGAGCCACCACGCCCGACCTTAACACATTTATCCATCACAAAAACCTAGTGTCCTAGGTCCTACAGTCCTAATATTATTCTCATTTTACAGATGAGGAAATAGACTTCAGATTATTAGCTGTTGATCACAGCTAGTAACTGAAAGAACGAACATTTCACTTAGGAAAGATTCAAGATTTGAACATCAGCAGGCTTCCATTACCAGGCGGGCCTTAATCATGACCCTTCACCACCAAAAAAGTAAACCCCTCTCCGGAGACAGCGAGTGAGCAAAAAAACATACAGCTCTTCTTATACTTTCCATGCACACATGTTCAACTGTGACCAATTCAGAAGTGGAAGCACCTTGGCTTTGTTTATTTCTGTGGTTCCATTTGTAACATGGGAAGCAGCTAGGTGATTAGAGTTAGGATTAGGAGAAAAGGCATGTCACCTGAACTGATTCCATGTCTGGAGACTCAGCCACCACCATTTAGGGAGGTGTGATATTGCATGTATTCCACCCACACCACAGTTAATACAGCTTTATCACAGCTTATAGTTAATGAGCTTCTCTAGCACATTTTGGGTGAGGTCAACTCTTGATATATTTCATGAATTCCCAAACCGATTAATCCCTCATCTGTGCAATCATTTGCATTCTAAGTCATAACCTAGGGTAATTCATGAGGCCTGGTGCCAGCATTTGGTCTTATTTAATTGAACCCAAAAGCCTGTGATACAGGCATATGGGGACCTGAGGCCACAGGCTGCAGAGCCAGTGAGCACTGGAGGCTTGGCCACAGCCGCAGAGCCAGTGAGCACTGGAGGCTGGGCCTTGTGACTGCTTGTCTCATACTCATCTGGGCTGGCACCTGCCTTTATTAATTATTCCCAATATACACACTCATTTTGGTCACCTCTCATAGGCCATATTTAAGTCAATGACCACACTGCTGAGGTCCTGATCAGTCCTTGTTTGTAATTTTCTGCCCCTAATCTTCCTCCCTTCTTGAGGCTAAATGAGGGTTCTCAGCTCTATTTAATTGGTCCTATTTGATTGAACACATGTGAACAGTTCTGTTAGTTCTGTTACTCTTTTTTTTTTTTTTAAGATGGAATTTTACTCTTGTTGCCCAGGCTCGAGTGCAATGGCATGATCTTGGCTCAATGCAACCTTCGCCTCCCAGGTTCAAGCGATTTTCCTGCCTCAGCCTCCCAAGTAGCTGGGATTACAGGCATGTGCCACCACACCAGGCTAATTTTGTATTTTTAGTAGAGACAAGGTTTCACCATGTTGGTCAGGCTGGTCTCAAACTCCTGACCTCAGGTGATTCCCCCGCCTTGGCTTCCCATAGTGCTGGGATTAGAGGAGTGAGCCACCATGCCTGGCCTAGTTCTATTGCTCTTTCTAAGAAAGAGAAGGGAGAAGGCACATTATAAGGGTGGAAGAAGAAACATCAGGGTAGGAGTCCAATTAGGAGGAACTGGTGTCAATACCCAGTTCCAGGACTCCCTGGCTATGTGATTTTGGAGACGTCACTTGCTTCCTCTGAGTGTTGGTTTCCTGACCTATGAGTAAATATCAGATGGTCTCTTCTACACTGAAGGATACAATGAAAGACAGGGCTGAGGCAGAGAGAACGGTCCCTTTTTCCACTTCCAAGAACTTGGCTTTCCAATTCTTTGCCACACCTGGGTTTTAGGACCCAGATCTCCATGTGGACACAAGAAGAAAGGAATTTGTTTGCCCCTTCTCTCTCTCCCTCTATGCCCCTTTCTGTAGAACAGAGAGGCCATGGACGGGTGGACCCAGTATCAGGAAAACAGTAGGTGTTTTTGAAAGGGGAAGGGATGGGAAGTGGAACAAGACCCATCACATAAATTAACAGAGGTTCAAAATCTGAATAAGAAATCAGAATACTGGCCGGGCACGGTGGCTCACGCCTGTAATAACAGCACTTTGGGAGGCCGAGGCGGGCGGATCGCTTGCGGTCAGGAGTTCAAGACCAGCCTGGCCAATATGGTGAAACCCCGTCTCTACTAAAAATACAAAAATTAGCCAGGTATGGTAGGGGGCACCTGTAATCCCAGCTGCTCGAGAGGCTGAGGCAGGAGAATCGCTTGAATCCGGGAGGCAGAGGTTGCAGTGAGCCAAGATCGCACCACTGCACACCAGCCTGGGCATCGCAATGAGACTCCGTCCTGGGAAAAAAAAAAAAAAAGAAATCAGAATATGGGCAAATTTAGGCCATAAACAAAGATGGAAAGAAGAGGTCTTATTTTAGTGACCTTACAACAGTGGTTTTCAACTGGGGGCCATTTCCCACCCCTAAGGGACGCTTGAAATATCTGGAGACATTTTTGGTTGTCACAACTGGCAAAAGATGGGGACAGGGCTGGGAGAGTCTGCTGCTGGCGTCTAGTGGGTAGAGACCGGGGATGCCTGAAACACACTAGAAGGTATGGTACAGCGTCCCCATGACAATTATTCAGCCTATTGTTAGTTTGCCAGGGCTCTTCAAAAGACAAAGCAATAAATTTAGTTATAGTCTAATTGGCTTTTAATCAAGATTCATGAATCAGGCAGCCTCTGTTTTTCCAAAACAGAATGAGAGTCCCCACTGAGGCAGTAGCACAATGGTAAAGTTTTTATAAGGAAACAGAACAATACGAAAAAAAAAAAAAGATTAGTTAACGTCAGGTTTTTTTATAAGGGTTCAAAGCAGAGGAACTTCCTTATTCTCTGACTATGGTAGACTGGAATCTCCTGTTTTCAGGAAAAACTGTCCTGTTCCTGGGATCTATCTCCTTCCTTAAAGACTTCAGTTGATTACATGCCATTTAGCGTGAGTGACTCCATTTTGGTTTCGTCTGGTCTGCTGGGGGTCTAGTGCAGGAGCTCAGTTCAGAATAATGACCTGCTGTTATTTTTTGTTGAGCAGGCTTCTCTTACAACATACCACAGACTGAGTGGCTTACACCACAAAAATTTATTGTCTCATAATTCTGGAGGCTTAAAGTCCAAGGCCAAGATGTAGACAGAGTTGGTTCCTTCTGAGGCCTCTCTCCTTGGCTTGCAGATGGCTGTCTTTCCCCTATGAATTGTCAATGTCTTCCCTCTGTGTGTCTGGGTCCTAATCTTTCTTATAAGGCCACAAATTATAGTGGATGTTAGGGCCCACTCTCAGACTTATTTTTATTTAATTATCTCTTTAAAGATCCTTTCTCCCAAATAGAGTTACATTCCGAGATATTAGGGGTTAGAATTTCATATATATGAATTTTCGGGGGAGACAATATTTAACCCATAACATGCGCCAAAAAGTCAATGGTGCCAAGGGTGAGAAACCCTTTCTCAAGGGTGAGAAAACACTGGTGGTAGCTGGCAGATCTTAGAGGAGGATAGTAAAACCTTTTGGTCAAATTAAGGGCTTTTGGAGATTCTCCTAAGACGAGCTGAAATTCCTCCTCTTTTTTTTTTTTTTTTTTTGAGACAGAGTTTTACTCTGTTTTCCAGAGTGGAGTGCAGTGGTGCAATCACAATCTCGGCTCACTGCAACCTCTACCTCCCAGGCTCAGGCGATCCTCCCACCTCAGCCTCCTGAGTAGCTGGGACTACAGGCACATACCACACCTGGCTAATTTTTGTGTTTTTAGTGGAGATGGGGTTTTGTTATGTTACCCAGACTAGTCTCGAGCTCCTGACCTAAAGTAATCCTCCCTCCTTGGCCTCCCAAAGTGCTGGGACTACAGGCATGAGCCACCACGCCTGGCCTGAAGTTTCTCCTTTGATGTGTCTTCTCTGCCTCCTGTTGATGTTGCTGTTGCTGTGTTCTCTCTTTAGATTGGAGCCCATTGGTGCAGCCGCCAGCAAGGAATACTCTCTGGAGAAAAACTTGGATAAAATGAAGTTAGACTGGGTTAACGTGACATTCAGCTTCGTGAAATACAGAGACACTGTGAGTCTCACTCCCAACTGCAACCCCCTCCTTGAAAGCAGCCCCATTTATTATGCAGTAGATTACAGAAACAATTCATTCAGAACGGCGACAGAACTCACAGAGGAATAATCGCTCACGTCTTGATTGTTTCCTCCTGTCTGCCTTTCTGTGTTACTCATCTTTCCTCTCAGCACCACCAAAGATATGCATTCTTCAAATCAGAAGGGCCTTTTGATTCAGAGCAAGAAGTTTTCTCAGTGCAAAGGAACCAAGCAAGCCTCCTAAATCAGCACCTCCCAGTGAAGGTGCAGGCTTGTACACGATTCCAAAGCTTCCCAGTCCCCTCAGAAGCACAGCAGCAGACAATGACTAGTGTTTCTCAGATGTTGATGCTTGCAGGAATCACCGGAGATTTTGTTGAAATGCCGGTGAAATGCCAGTTCTGATTCAGCAGGTCCGGGATGGGACCTAAGATTCTGCAGCTCTAACAAGCTCCCAGATAATATTGATCAATTTTGAATAGTAAGGGTGTAGGTTTCTTTCTTTTCACTTGCACTTGTAGAAAACAGGAGTTTTTACAGTGCATGCGGAGGTGCATACACCTGAAGCATTTGCTCAGCTGTCTTTAGGGTCTGGCTTGCTTTGGGGATAGAGTGTGAGGTAGGGATGAGAACTGCAGCTCTGGGGGAGCTGTAAATCATGGAGGCAATAGGTTGATACACACATCCTGCAGACCATTGGTTCTTTTTTTTTTCTTTCTTTCTTTTTTATTTTTTTTTTGAGATGGAGTCTTCCTCTGTTGCCCAGGTTGGAGTACAGTGGCACCCTCCTGGGTTCAAGCGATTCTCATACCTCAGCCTCCTGAGTAGCTGGGATTATAGGTGCCTGCCACCACACCCAGCTAAGTTTTGTATTTTCAGTAGAGATGGGGTTTCACCATGTTGGCCAGGCTGTCTTGAACTCCTGACCTCAAGTGATCCGCCTGCCTCAGCCTCCCAAAGTGCTGGGATTACAGGCGTGAGTCACCACATCAGGCCCAACCATTGATTCTTAAAGCAGCACTTCCAAACCTGCATTGTAGAATCATCTGGGATGCTTTAAAATCTCGCAATGGATTCCTCCTGGCTCCTCTCCTCCCAGAATGCCTGGGCATCCGTATTTTTAAGGCACCCCTGGTTTTTCTCATGTGCAATGTGGATTGAAAACCAAAGGCTCCCAAGCCTCCCTCCTCCCCCAGGCTGCATGTTATCTACTTGTGACTTCTTTCCCTATTCAGCTTAAATGGTTGGAGTGCCTTGATTTCACTCAAGGAAGAGCTGTAGGGGTAAAAAGGTGTGATCCTTTTCTTCACCTAGCATGAAGGTCATTCATGGCCAATACTCCTATAAATATAAAGACAGATTAACAAGAGAAAAGCATTAAAATTTTATTTATTCAAAGTTTTACATGACATTGGAACCCTCAAAACTGAAGACCCAAGGAAAACTGTATTTTTGGGCTTAGGTTTGATGAAGAATGGACAGCTGTATGGAAATGAAATTGAACAAAAGAGTGTGGTATAATGGTCTAGACTGGGTGGAAGCCTAGCGAGACCTGCCTGTTCAGATTCTTCTTGGTCTTTCTGTGTAGCAGTCCTTCCTCCCAGGCATAGGGCAAGACCCCTCAGGAACAAGGGTCTTGTGACCCACTATGGGACGAGGTTGCTCAGAGAATTTCCTTATGGCCTGCTGCCTTGGTCAGAGTAATATTTCTGGGTTTTATGGCTTGCTTCGGGAAAGAGGAGTTTAGTTTCTATGGACCGCCTTAGGGGAAAGATAAAGGAGCAGGAGAAAGGAAGAAAAAGATGAACAGAAAGATCTTGCTTCCAAGGCCTTCCAATGTCCTTCAGTGCAAAATACTCAGCAAATCAAGGTGCAATGCTTCGGGGTATTGTGGTGTTCTGAGCCCCAGCAGAACTATACATGATCCAATGAGAGGGAAGAGAGCTGAGGGTACAGGGCCTCATTACTGAGCCTCTCCCAGCAAGGGTGACCCAGCCACCATGGGTCTCAGAAGCGTGCCTACATGATTAGCTTGGATTAGACACTGCTGTAGAGGCTGTTGGGGTGACAAGAGGAGTGTAAGCTAGGAACCTGGGGAACAGTTCACTTATACCTGGCCAGTCTGCAGAGTTTTTGCCTAAAGTAACTATAGGCAAGGATCAGTAGCTAAATGGGGATCAAGAAACCACTTTATTAATAGCCCAGCACACCTCCCAGTGCTGAGCTACTGGTAAAACATAGATAAGAGAATACATGCCAGGCCCAATTTAGCCTCCTAGATTAGACTTGAAAGAAGTGAGAACAGAGCAAGAAAGACCAAACCTGCCCCAGGGGTCAGACCCTTGTCAGCTTGCTTGCCACAGTGGCCCAGGAGAAAAAGTGCCAACCACAGGGCCTGGCCTTTAAGGCACACCTTAGACTTTACCTACTAGTAAAACAGGACCACTTGGTCAGGCGTGGTAGCTCACACCTACAATCCCAGGACTTTGGGAGGTACAAGTGAGAGGATCACTTGAGCCCAGGAGCTCGAGAACAGCCTGGGTTGTAACATAGCAACACCTCATCTCTACAAAAAAAAAAAAAAAATTAGCTGAGTATGGTGATGTGCGCCAGCTACTTGGGAAGCTATTTGAGAAGCTGAGGCAGGGAGATTGCTTGAGCCCAGGAATTTGAGGCTGCAGTAAGCTATGATTGCAGCATTACACATTACACTCCAGCCTGGGTGACGGAGACCCTGTCTCAAAAAAGACCCAATAAATGTATAAAACAAGCCAGGCATGGTGGCTCACGCCTATCATGCTTGTAATCCCAGCATTTTGGGAGGCTGAGGCAGGCAGATCACTTGAGGTCAGGAATTTGAGACTAACCTTGCCAAGGTGGTGAAACCCCATCTCTGCTAAAAGTACAAAAATTAGCCCATCGTGGTGGTGCTTGCCTGAAATCCCAGCTACTCGGGAAGCTGAGGCAGGAGAATCAATTGAATCCGGGAGGCGGAGGTTGCGGTAAGCTGAGATCATGCTACTGCACTCCAGCCTAGGCGACAGAGCAAGACTGTCTCAAAAATAAATAAATAAATAAATAAATAAACAAATAAATAAATGAAACAGAGGTCCCCAAACTTTCTTGGTTCACAATGCCTTTGTGTCTAACTACTTTTTTCACAGTGCCCTTAGGCCGAAAGAAATACCTAATAGCTTTGTTTATGCAGTAATTAGGTCCAAATAATTTAATAAGGATTTATGCTCTAACAACTTAGCCACTGTTTGAAAAAAATACACCTACAATAAAAGAAAAAATAATGGTTGTATTTTATTTTTAAATCACCACAATCATTTACTTTGAGTTGGCTGCGGTGCCCCAGGGCACTTCAGTTCACAGGGTGGAAACCGCAGGTCTAGGCCTAACTAGTCAGATTAGCAGCTGATCTTCCTACCGGAGGGAAAGGAGAGCCAGGAAAGCAAGTGGAGAAGCAGGAACACAGGGAAAGGGGCAGAAATCTTCCTCCCCAGCAAATTCTATCTGTGAGTCTTGGATTAGACTGTATTTGACTTCTGCAAAGGAGGTGGACAATAAATGTCTTTAAAAAAATTTTTTAGAGATGGGGTCTTGCTATGTTGCCCAGGCTGGTCTTGAATTCCTGGGCTCAAGCAGCCCTCCTACCTCAGCCTCCCATGGAGGCTGAGATTACGGGCATTAGCCACCTTGTCCAGCCTAAATATCTTTAATAACATTTTCAAGGAAGAAAGTAGAAGTCCTATCCCCTGCAAGACATAGATTCCTACCCCATGAGAGTGGAGTTCTGAGCTGTGAGGTCCTAAGGGATCAGCATGAAAAATGGGGAGGTGGCTGGATGCAGTGGCTCAAGTCTGTAATCCTAACACTTTGGGAGGCTGAGGCAAGAGGATCACTTGAGGCCAGGAGTTCGAGATCAGCCTGGGCAACAGTGAGACCCCATCTCTTAAAAAAAAATCCAAGCTGGGCACGGTGGCTCATGCCTGTAATCCCAGCACTTTGGGAGGCCGAGGCGGGTGGATCACCTGAGGTCAGGAGTTTGAGACCAGCCTGGCCAACATAGTGAAACCCTGTCTCTACTAAAAACACAAGATTAACTGAGTGTGGTGGCATTTGCCTATAATCCCAGCTATTCGGGAGGCTGAGGCAGGAGAATCACTTGAACCCAGGAGGTGGGCGTTGCACTGAGCTGAGATTCCACTGCTGCCCTCCAGCCCAGGCAATAGAAGTGAAACTCTGTCTTTTAAAAAAAAAAAAATCCAGGCATGGTGGCATATGCCTGTAGTCCTACCTACTTGGGAGGCTGAGGCAGGATGATCCCTTAAGCCCGGGAGTTTGAGGCTGCAGTGGGCTAGGATTGAGCCATTGCACTCAGGTCTGGGTGAAGAGACCCTGTCTCTAATAAATATATTTTTAAAAAAGGAAAAAAAAAAATGGAGAGGTTTCACAATTTTGACAAGGTGGGGCGTCTTTGTTTACAGGATACAAGCATCTTGTGTGCAGTTGATGACATTCAAATGCTACTCGATGATCACGTGATAAAGACCCAGACCATGTGTGGCTCCCCATTCGTCAAACCAATAGAAACAGAATGCCGGGTAAGAGGAAATGAAGTTGAATGCTTTGAGATGTTTCATTAGCCCTGCGTTTCTCAGAGGAGGCGAAAGGTTTTCAAGTTCAGTTAACAAAGAAAGTTTCTTTGTCCTAATTGGAAAAAATAAATAAATAAATGACACAGTGGCTCACACCTGTAATCCCAGCACTTTGGGAGGCCAAGGTGAGTGGATCACCTGAGGTCAGGAGTTCAAGACCAACCTGGCCAACATGGTGAAACTCTGTCTCTACTAAAAATACAAAAATTAGCCAGGCGTGGTGGCAGGCGCCTGTAATCCTAGCTTCTTGGGAGGCTGAGACAGGACAATCACTTGAACCCAGGAGGCGGATGTTGCAATGAGCCGAGATCGCACCATTGCACTCCAGCCTGGGCGACAAGAGTGAAACTCCGTCTCAAAAATGAATACATTGATTAATTAATGACAAAAAACTGAAAGCAATAACCATCCAAATAAGCATATGGCATGCTGAGCCTTTGCAACTGTCTGCCAAAAGAGAAGATGAGATTTGAATGCACCAAATACACGTGCATTTGGGAAGCATCTTATGGGCTGTGGTACTCTAGAATGTAAGCTACCTGAAGGTAGGGATTTGGCCTCCTGTGCTCATTGTTTGGAGCAGTGACATGGGCTAACGACACAAACTCTGAAGCCAGATGACCTGGGTTTGAATTCTGGCTCTGCTCCTTATTAGTGATGTGACCTTGGGCACATTACTAAACTGTTGTGTTTCAGTTTCTACATCTGGAAAATGCGGTTTGTAATCACATCTACCTGGTAAGGCTGTGGGATTAAATTGGTTCCATATACTTAAAGCACTAGACCATTGCTTGTCACAGATGATGTATATAACTATTATAATTATTCTGCTAGAACGTGAGCTCCACAGTGGGCAAAGTTCTCATGTGTTTCATTCATTGCTATGTTCACATCACCTGGAGCAGTAAACAGAGAACAGGGGGACGTCAATAATTATTTGTTAAACAAGTGACTGACTGAATGAATAAATGTATGTCTCCATCCATTTGCTTGGTCCATGGGCCTGTGATGCAGAGTGGCAGGTTAATGATTCAGGTATGAAATGCTAAATTCACAGAAATGGGAAGAAAAGCTAATTCGCATACAAGACAATTTGGATGCCTGGTTGAAATGCCAAGCCACCTGGCTGTACCTGGAACCAATCTTCAGTTCGGAGGACATCATAGCCCAGATGCCAGAAGAGGGGAGGAAATTTGGCATTGTTGATAGTTACTGGAAATCACTTATGTCTCAAGCGGTAAGTTTTTATACCCTAATAACTCTTACCAGCAGAAATACAAGTGTTTCCTCATTATGCATTCTAGTCACCCTCCTTGAAACTTATAAATGAACTGGAGTTTTGGAAAATCAATCTTTTTGTATCTTCTTCTAATTTCAAAAGTTGTTATTATTAAAAATGCAAACATATGACCGGTGCGGTGGCTCATGCCTGTAATCCCATCACTTTGGGAGGCCAAGGCAGGTGGATCACTTGAGGTCAGGAATGGTGTCAGGAACCAGCCTGGCACAAAAACATGGTGATAACCAAACCACGCCATCTGCTACTAAAAACTATCAAAAAAAATATAGTAAGGAGTATATACTGGTGTGGCCGCGCCGTGTGTGTGTATGTGTATATGTGTGTGCTGTGTATATATCACGTGTGATATGTATACATGTATGATATGTATATGTACTGTTATATGTATTACACCGTTGATATATGTATATGTAATATGTCATGTACATATGGTTTGGTATATATCACGGGTGGCGGGGCGTGCTGTCCGTGTAATAATATGTGGTGTACGCTATATATACGTGTTACGGCGGCGTGTTGTGTGTGTGTGTGTGTATTATACTAATATATATTAGGCAGCGCTCTGGTGCGTCGCCCATGCCTTTGAGGGAAGCCCAGCTACGCGCCGCGCGGGGTGGCAGGCTGAGGCGGTGGAGAGGACCTCGGCGTTTGAACTCGAGGGAGCCGGCGGGCCGGTTGCAGGTTGACGCTGGGATCGTGGCCACTACACCTCCAGGCTGGGAGGTGAGCGAGATTCTGTCTCAAAAAATCAAGAATTAAAAAAAAAAAAAGAAATACAAATAACAGAACATAGAAAGTAAAAGCCTTTTGAAATCCCACTTCCCAAGCAGTAATATGGGGCTGTTGTGTATTACTTAACTGTCATTTCTTATGAGGTTTTATTTGTTGCAGGATAATGCAGTAACACTTTTATAGCTTGAGAATCCTTTTAGAATTCCAACAATTATCCACATTTGGTTACTCAGTTATTTAACAAATGTTTATTCAGTACCTACAATGACCCAGGTGTTATACTAGAAATCAGAAAATACTTGAAGGTGGCAAGAATATGATTTCTGTCTTCATAGAATTTGTTGCCTTGGCTGAGTGCGGTGGCTCACGCCTGTAATTCCAGCACTCTGGGAGGCCAAGGCAGGTGGATCGCTTGAGCTCAGGAGCTGGAGACCAGTCTTGGTAACATGGTGAAACCCCGTCTCTACTAAAAATATAAAAAATTAGCTGGGTATGGTGGCATGCACCTGTAATCCTGGCTATTCCGAGGCTGAGGCAGGAGGATCCCTTGAACCTGGGAGGTGGAGGTTGCAGTGAGCCCAGATTGCGCCACTGCACTCTAGCCTGGGCAACAGAGTGAGACTCTGTCCCCCACACCCAAAAAAAAAAGTAATATACAAATAGTTATTAGAATACAGAAGAGTGATTTGGTTGTCTTAGGGTGTCAAGGAAGGCCTCTAAAGCAGGAACATTGGGATCAAGCCTTGAAGGATGGTAAGTTCATTGGGTGTGCAAGGCACCTAGAGGCATCTTTTATGAGGTCAAATCATTTTCCTTTTTTAAGTCAAGTGTGATCAAATTGGGGTGCACTTAAAAAGATTTTGCCGCAAGGGAATTTATCTTCCCTGCTTTGTTTGTGAGGGTGAGATAAATGGGAATTTAGATTGTTTAGCCAGCATAAGCCAATTCTTTATTAGTTAAGGTTCTTTGGGTGCAAGTGACAGAAACCAACTCAGGATAGCTGAAACGAGAAGACCAAACTGGTGTCTCATGGAACCCAAGGCCAGATAGCGCAGCCAAGCCTCACAAAAGATGGATCTAGGACCCAGAAGCCTCTTCTCTTAGGAACTCCTTCCATCTCTCTGAGCTCAGCTCCTCTTTCCTGGCCTTGCCTTAGTCTCTCTCTCTCTCTCTCTCTCTCTCTCTCCCCCCCATCTCTCTCTCTCTCTCTCTCCCCCTCTCTGTCTCTCTCTCAAGACTAGCTTGCTCGACCATTCCATCACACAGAGAGACATAATCCTCACTCAGCCCAGACTAGTATAGAATGTCATGGTTTGGATTCTAAACTCCGTGGTTTAAAATATGATTGGGCTTGATTGGTTTCAGGTACCCAGTCCCTGCCCAGTCAACCGTGATCAGAGGAACAAGGTCATATTCCATGAGCATTCACCCCTGTGCAGTTAGGAAGGGGATCAGGAGGCAGTTAGCTGGACAAGGAGTGCTGTCAGTTGATAGGTCACACATTCATTACAATGACCAATGTCAGAACTTGGGAACCTCATGATGAGTCTCACCTTTTTTAATGGAACCCAGGTGAAAGATAACAGGGTTCTGGTGGCAGCCGACCAGCCACGGATGGCCGAGAAGCTTCAAGAAGCCAACTTTCTCTTGGAGGACATCCAGAAAGGGCTGAATAATTACTTGGAGAAGAAGAGACTATTCTTCCCCAGGTATCCAGCATTGTTCTTTTACTTGGAATTACATTCTTGCCCCATATGTAGGTAGAATTCCATTTTTCATACCAAGAGTTGACTTCATCCAATCTAGTCTATACTCTTTCCTGGTTTTCCATTCTCCAAGACAGCTTTCAGGAATGGTGCATGACTTCAGAGTCTTTACTTAGTGTGAGGTTGAATGGACACCAATGGGTGTCAAATGCACACGTTGTCCAAACCAACACTGTTATTTTTCCGAATTACAGGGGTAGAGTATTCATGACTATGGGCCTGGATTTTGGAGTTAAACAGACCTCCTTTGGCATCCCAGCTTTTCTACCTGGTAGTCTTGAGGCCTCCAGCAAATCTATCCAAGCCTCAGGTTCCCCACCGTAAATCTGGGATATAGTAATGGCCCCTACTCTATGTATTTGTTGTACAGATTAATGAGCTAACACATGTAAAAACATTTAGCACCTAGACTATGTGTTTAAGAAACATCAGTCAATTTTTTTATACCATGAAATTTTGTAGTTTCTGGTAGGTATGCTTATACATATTTGACTCTTTTCTTCCCCCACAAAAACCAATCTTCTGCATAAAAGTCAAGGAAGTTTTAGGTTAGTTCCAGGCCAGGCATGGTGGCTTATGCCTGTAATCTCAACATTTTGGGAGACCAAGGTGGGAGGATTGATTGAGCTCAGGAATTTGAGACCAGCCTGGACAAGATGGGGAAATTCCACCTGTACAAAAAAATACAAAAAATAAGCCAGCCTAGTTGTGTGTGCCTATGGTCCCAGCTACTCAGGAGACTGAGGTAGGAGGATCACTTGAGCCTGGGAGGCAGAGGTTGCAGTGAGCCAAGATTGCATCAGTGCACTCCAGCCTGGGCAACAGAGTCAGACCCTGTCTCCAAAGAAAAAAAAAAAAAAAAAAAAAGGAGAAGGTTAGTTTCAGAAAGGTGAGTTGTCACTCCTGACATTCCTGATAATCTGTCCATGACTAGTTCACCATTGACGGTCACCGCATGTCATTTGACCCCGATTAGGATGTTTGATCCTAATGTACCTTTAAGAAACATAAATTTTAGTGTTTCTTTATGTGAACACAAAGTTAGTTCCCTCCTGCTTACCAAAAAAAAAGTGATTTGTTAGAAACTCAGAAGTATGGCTGGGCATGGTGGCTCATGCCTGTAATCCCAGCACTTTGGGAGGCCAAGGGGGCAGATCACCTGAGGTCAGGAGTTCAAGACCAGCCTGGCCAACATGGTGAAACCTTGTCTCTACTAAAAATATAAAAATTAGCCGGGTATGGTAGGGGGGCACCTGTAATCCCAGTTACTTGAGAGACTGAGGCGGGAGAATTGCTTGAACCTGGGAGGCAGAGGTTGCAGTGAGCTGAGATCATACCACTGCACTCCAGCCTGAGCGATGGAGCAAGACTCCATTTCGTAAATAAACAAATAAATAAATAAATAAATAAATAAACTCAGAAGTATCTTTGGTATTTATTCAATTCAGCATTATCCAATAGAACTTTCTACAATGATAGGAATGTTCTTTGTCTGTACTGTCTAATACAGTAGCCCTTAGTCACCAGTGGCCACTGAGCGCTTTATGTGTGGCTGAGGTGACTGAGGAAGCCAATTTTTAACTTAGTTAATATTACTTTTTAATGTAAATAGCCACATGTGGCTAATAGCTTTTGTATTGGACAACACATTATAGTGAAAGAAACCCTGGTTTAGAAGCATAAGGCTTGGGAAGAGATTAAACTCAGGAAACACCTGAGGTTTGGGCTTCTAGTTCTAGACCCACTCCTGTTATTCCTAATTAAAATAGGAATAATAGACCAGGCGTGGTGGCTCCTGCCTGTAATACCAGCACTTTGGGAGGCTGAAGTGGGCAGATCACCCAAGACTGGGAGTTCGAGACCAGCCTGGCCAAAATGATGAAACCCTGTCTCTACTGAAAATAAAAAAATTAGCTGGGTATGGTGGTAAGCGTCTGTAATCCCAGCTATTTGGGAGGCTGAGGCAGGAGAATCGCTTGAACCTGGGAGGCAGAGATTGCGGTGAGCCGAGATGGCGCCACTGCACTCCAGCCTGGGTGAAAGAGTGAGACTCTCTCAAAAAAAAAATTATGAATAATAGCACTAATAAAGCATTTACCTTACACCAGGACCCTGCTCTAAGTGCTTTACACTTATTAACTAATTTAATCTTTGTAATACTCTTATGAGTTTGGGAACATTATTATTGTCCCTGTTTTATAAATGAGAAAATAATGATTTGCCCAAAGGTATAAGACTGATAAAATGATCAAGTTAGAATTGATACCCAGGAAGTCTGGATAAGATATGCAACCATTTAACTTCTCTGAGCCACACTTTTTCCCTAAGTTAAACACACACATACACACACACACACACACACACACACACACACAAATACCTCGATATTTCTTTATGCATTTTTATGAAATAAAATTAAATACTCTCGGCAAACACTTTGAGAATGTTTTTGATAGCCACATAATTTAATTTCGTCTTGAAAATACAGATTGCTAAAAAAAGATTTTAATTTTAAATTATACAAATGTATTATTACTACTCTTATGGCCATTGAGCCTTATTCATTATAGCACATGATGGAGATAGAGGGAGTGCATATCCATAGAGATCACCCATTTGAATTTCACTTGGGAGTGGGAGAAATGGACATCTCATTGGATATTGGTTAGTTGGTCATCAACAGATAATTATTACTCTTTCTACTTGCTCGACACTGTAGATCAGTGTATTCGTTTGTTTTGCTGAATAACAAATGACCCCAAAAGTTAGAAGTATGAAACAACAATCATGTATTTAGCTCATAATTCTGTAGGTTGGCAGATTGAGCTGGGCTTGACTGGGTGGTTCTTCTGGTCTCATTGGGGCTCACTCATGACTGCAGTTAGCCGTCAGTCAGCATCCTTAATTGCTTGTCTGGTCATTGGCTTCCTACTGGCTGGGCAACAGGTAGTTGGGCCACATGTCTTTTATCCTGTAGAAGACTAGCCTGGGTTTATTTATAAGGTGGTGGTCACAGGGTTCCTAAGAGCAGCAAGAGTGAAAGCGTCATGGCCTCTTGATGCCTAGGCTTAGAACTTGCACAGGCTCATGTTCTCTTACATTCTCTTAGCCAAAACAAGACACAGAGCCAGCTCAAGTTTGAGAAATGTGAAAACAGACTCCACTCCTTGATGAGAGGAACTGTAAATATCGTGGCCATTTTTGTAATCCACCATATTTGGTAAAGACCATAATCACAAAATCCCTCCATCAGCCTGATGGTCACGTACAGGTTTGAACACTGGACATTTTCTGAAGGTTTATTGTTGCTGCTTTTAGGCCTGAATAAGAGATGAAATTGTCTTATTATCTTTAAAAGATAGTAGAGGGCCGAGTGCAGTGGCTTACCCTTATAGTCCCAGCACTTTGGAAGGCGAGGTGGATGGATCACTTGAGCCCAGGAGTTCGAGACTAGCCTTGGCAACATGGCAAGACCCCGTCTCTACAGAGTATACAAAAATTAGACGGGCGTGGTGGCATGCGCCTGTAGTCCCCGCTACTCGGGAGGCTGAGGCGGGAGAATTGCTTGAGCCCTGGAGGCCGAGGCTGTAGTGAGCTATGATTGCACTGTTGTACTCCAGCCCAGGTGACAGAGCAAGACCCTGTCTCAAAATAAATAATAAATAAATAAATAAAATGAAAGATGGTAGAGGCCTCTGCATGTAGGTAGGCTCATTATTAACATTTACTTTCTTGTATCATGCCTGTACAATGTTCCTGCATGGATGGAGAGAAGGAACGACAAGGAAGTCTCTCTCTCCTGCCCCTACCCAGTGGTTCTCAACACTGACTGCACATTAGAACTGACCTGAAATTTAAAAAAAATACAAATTTCATCAGCCGCACCCCCAGATCAATTCTATTAGAATCTCTGGGCAGTGGGACTGTGGCACTGGCATTTCGTATGAGCTCCCCAGGTGATTCTAAAGTGCAGACAAAGTTGAGAATTGCTGTTCTGCCTGGGCTCTTTTCAGCTGATAGCACCCACCCCCCAGCCCTATGAAACCCACATATGCCAGCTTTTATTCTTTCTCTTGCTCTCAGAGTCAAAACCATCGCTTCTTGGCCTTTTAGCTAAATCACGTTTGGTATCTCAGATTCAAAACCATCTCCAAGCTGGATGTAATGGCTCATGCCTGTAATCCCAACTACTCAGGAGGCTGAGGAGAGAGGATTGCTTGAGCCCAGGAATTCAAGTCTAGCCTGGGCAATATGGCAAGACCTCATCTCTTAAGAAAAGCAAAACTCCGCCTTCCATGCCCCAGATGAAAAGTGATAAAAGAGAGTGGTGGGCCTTTGTGAAGACCGCAGGACAGAGCTGGTATTCACCTAGGTGTGGACTACCTGTCAGAGAGTATCACCTTGGGCCGGGCGCGGTGGCTCACGCCTGTAATCCCTGCACTTTGGGAGGCCGAGGCGGGCGGATCACGAGGTCAGGAGATCGAGACCGTCCTGGCTAACACGGTGAAACCCCGTCTCTACTAAAATACAAAAAATTAGCCGGGCGCGGTGGCGGGCACCTGTAGTCCCAGCTACTCGGGAGGCTGAGGCAGGAGAATGGCGCGAACCCGGGAGGCGGAGCTTGCAGTGAGCCGAGATGGTGCCACTGCACTCCAGCCTGGGCAACAGAGTGAAGACTCCGCCTCAAAAAAAAAAAAAAAAAAAAAGAGAGTATCACCTTGCTAGAAAAAGCAGTTACCATCTTTCTTTGCTTTGAAATAGGTTCTTCTTCCTATCAAATGATGAGCTACTGGAAATCTTGTCTGAGACAAAGGACCCTCTCCGAGTGCAGCCGCACTTGAAGAAGTGCTTTGAAGGAATTGCCAAGCTCGAGTTTATAGACAATCTGGAAATTGTAGGTATGATCAGCTCAGAAAAAGAAACTGTTCCATTCATCCAGAAAATCTACCCAGCTAATGCCAAGGTAACTCCTCTTACCCATTTTTGGTTCTTTTCTCCATAACAAAGTAAACCAGAGAGCATATTGGCTAAGCACTGGGACTTTAGTTCCAGACTGCCTGGGGTATGGAACACTCAGTTTCCACAATGTAATGACTGAAGATTTGGGGAAGTGACTCAGTCTTTCTTAGTCTCAGTGTACCCATCTCTAAGACGGAGGTTATACTGCAACCCACATGATATATTAAATTTGTGGATTTTAACCCAACTCGATGTGGAGTCAGTTGTAGGAATCAGATCAAAAGAGCCGATGCTGTTTAGATTTCCATGTGCGGAGTTCAGTTGAAAGCGATTCAGTTAGACAGGTAGCTTCCTGGGGCACTCATTTTAAAGATCAGTAAAACATCATAGAATCAATGAGAGCTATAATGCTGCTTAACTCAGGTTTTCATACATATGTCCTTATATAATGAGTAAAGTATAAATTACTTCCATTTCTGCTCAGTGACAGCATCCTCAAGTGGAAACAGACAAGCAAGCTTAGCCTTGCTTTGTTAACTGTTTTTGCCACCCACACATATAAACTGCAGCAACCAGGAGTCACATTACCAATGCAGACACCAGCTAGCTTACAAGCACCTGAAGTCAACAGCTACAGTTACCTGAAATTCTAACACTGAATAATTTGCTGCGTATTTGAATTTCCTTATGGAGCTTTAATCAAAATCCAAATGACCAGGTTGCATCCCATACCAATTAAATCAGGAAGTCTAGGGATGGGAGTCAGTCATCAGTATTTTTAAAAGATCTCCAAGTGATTTCAAGGAACAGCAGAGTTTGAGACCCACTGGAATAATGCATGAGTCAGAGCTGTTCATTTAAAAGATGCAATTTATTTTATGAACTGACAGATGTTTCATTTGCCTTCTGAGAAGTTGTCTGTTTCAGAAAATGACATGAAAGTAATGCATGTTAAAAATGGGCAGGGCATGGTGGCTCACACTGTAATCCCAGCACTTTGGGAGGCCACAGGCAGGTGGCATCGCCTGAGGTCAGGAGTTCGAGACCAGCACTGGCCAACATGGGAAACCCTGTACTCTTCCTACTAAAAAGCCCAGGTGAGTGGCACCATGCCTGTAATCCAGCAACTGGGAGGCTGAGGCAGGAGATATCAGTTGACAACCCAGGAGGCGGAGAGTTCTGGCATGAGCTGAGAGTCGTGCCATTGCGAACTCCAGCCTGGGTGACCAAGAGTGAGACTCCGTCTTGGAAAAAAAAAAAAAAATCTATTCTCCCTTTAGAAGCATACAGCTTTGAGAATACAGAAAGATAAGTGTAAAGCAGATAAAGAAGTATTGCTAGGGGCCAGGGCCATGGCTCCACCTGTAATGCCTATGCAACTTTGGGAGGCTGAGGCCAGGAGGATCGTCTGTGAGGCCAGAGATTCAAGCACCGCCTGGGGGGGACAACTAGAGAGACCCCGGGCTCTACAGAAATATTTAAAGTTAGCCCGGGCAGTGGGGCGTTGTGCTGTATCCCAGTTACTCAGGAGCTAGGCAGAGTCACTTCGGGCAGGAGTTCAAGGCTTGCAGTGAGCCGCAGGCGTGCCCCCGCCTCCAGTCTGGGATGACAGGAGCAAGGCCTGTCTCCAATTCTCTTTTAAAAAAAAGAGAGAGAGAGAGACCAGGTGCAGTGGCCATGTCTGGTAATCCCAGCACTTTTGCGAGCTGAGCGCGGGCAGATCATAGGAGGTCCAGCGAGGTCAAAGACCATCCTTGGCCAACATGGTGATAACCCATCGCTCTACTAAAAGTACAAAATCAGCTGGGCGTGGTGGTGCACATCGTTAATCCAGCTACTCAGGAGGCTGAGGCAAGGATGAATCGCTGTTAAACCAGGGAGTTGGAGGTTGCCATGAGCAAGGATCGTGACACGTGCACTCCACGCCCGCGGCAACAGAGCAAGGACTCCATGTCAAAAAAACAGAGAACTGGAAAGAGACAATATGTGACTTGAAATGGGTGCCAAGCGTTTGGCCCCTTCCAGCCATGTCCAGAGAGAAGAGCTGTTTCTACCAGACTGTCCCTCCCCTGGGCTTTGGTTGACTGTTGCACCCCTCTCTCGTCTTGCTCCATAGCATGCGGTGGAAGAGTGGCTCCAGCAGGTGGAGCAGATGGATCTTCGGCCAATATGCGAGACGTCATTGGACTTGGAATTGAGCATATGTAAAGGTAAACAAGCAAATCAGGAGTACACGTTGCCGGGACACCCTAGTGCACTAAAGAGAACATTGGGGAGAAGTTCATGTATCAGTAGTCTCAGTTCTGGAGCTCTGCCTTCTACCAAAACCTGTCCCTCTGCACCTCTCTTTCCTTTACCTGTGAACCCTGGGGCAATGAACCTACTCCTGGTGAGATGTTGGCAGTTAGAAGCAGGTGATGCAAGAGAAGAGGGTTAGCTGGAACCCTCTGGTTGCCACGGACCAGTCCTTTTTGTCAAATGGAATTAATGGCACAAGGTCTATTTAGAGTCCCTTAATAATTCATTTACCTTACAGATGCCCTGAATGGCATAACTCATGTTCCCAAAGCTTTAAGGGAAACAGGTATGATGTAAGCCTTAAGACAAAAGAACCTATCAGAATAACTTGATACCCAGCCTGTAGTAATATGCGTGTTGACTCTAGCTCTCTTTCTTTCTTTTTTGTTTCTGAGATGGAGTCTCACTCTGTCTCCCAGGCTGGAGTGCAGTGGTTAATCTTGGCTCACGCCAACCTCCGCCTCCCGGTGTCAGCGATTCTGCCTGCCTCAGCCTCCCCAAGTAGCTAGAGGACTACAGGCACCCACTGCCACACCCAGCTAAATTTTTGTAGTTTTTAGTAGAGATGCGTTTCACCATGTTGGCCAGGCTTGTCTCGAACTCCTGACCTCAAATGATCATACCTGCCTCGGTCTTCAAAGTGCTGGGATTACAGGCATGAGCACTGCCCCGGACAAACGACTAACCGTCATTACGATTCGTATTCCAGGACCCACAGAACCAAAGCGAATATCAACACCCTCACACTAAAGTCCTGGGACTGAGCCGCTGCTCCTCTGAAATAGTATTTGCATTGTAAAAGATGAAAGACCATCCCTTTTCCTAGACATTACTCTGAATCAAAAATTAAAGAAAAGCAGTTACCGGTATGAAATTATTTCATCCAAATCAAATCTATCAAGTTTCATCCTCAGATCAAACTTTTTCTGTAAAGAGCCAGATGGTAAATATTTTCAACTCTGCAGGCCACATTCCCAAAGCAACTATTTTTAAAAATAAATTTTATTACGCATATTTAAGGTATACAACATAATGTTATAAGATACATATGTATAGTAAATGGGTACTGTAGCTTTTCCCTTGTAGCACAAAAGCATCAGACAATATTTAAATGATGGGCATGGCTGTATTTCTTTTTAAAAATTTTTTAAAAATTTTATTTTATTTTACTTTAAGTTCTGGGATACATGTGCAGAACATGCAGGTCTGTTACATAGGTATACATGTGCCATGGTGGTTTGCTGCACCTATCAATCCATCATCTAGGTTTTTTTTTTGAGACGGAGTCTGGCTCTGTTGCCCAGGCTGGAGTGCAGTGGCCGGATCTCAGCTCACTGCAAGCCCCGCCTCCCGGGTTCACGCCATTCTCCTGCCTCAGCCTCCCAAGTAGCTGGGACTACAGGCGCCCGCCACCTCGCACGGCTAATTTTTTTTGTATTTTTAGTAGAGACGGGGGTTCACCATGTTAGCCAGGATGGTCTCGATCTCCTGACCTCGTGATCCGCCCGTCTCGGCCTCCCAAAGTGCTGGGATTACAGGCTTGAGCCACCGCGCCCGGCCCCATCATCTAGGTTTTAAGCCCCGCATGCATTAGGTATTCGTCCTAATGCTCTCCCTCTCCTTGCCCCCCACCTCCTGACAGGCCTGATGTGTGAAGTCCCCTCCCTGTGTCCATGTGTTCTCATTGTTCAACTCCCACTTATGAGTGAGAACATGCGGTGTTTGGTTTTCTGTTCCTGTGTTAGACTGCTGAGAATGATGGCTTCCAGCTTCCTCCATGTCCCTGCAAAGGACATGAACTCATTCTTTTTTATGCTGCGGCTGTATTTCAATACAACTTTATTTATGAAAAAATTTATATACATAGTTTGCCCGCTCCTGATCTGTAGCTTGAGGGAAAAAACTGTAGGATGGGGAAACAACTCAGACAGTTGTGACTCAGCACTGCAATATTAGGTAGCCATTAAAAAACAGTAGTTATGAGAATTCTCTGAACATCACCTTGATTATAACTATGGAAAAATTTGATGAATGGGAGCATGGAAACAATGCAAAGTTGATGAGACGACTGGAGTTTTTTTTTTTTTTCTTTTTCATAAAACTCAGAAAGGAAGACATAAATCGGTAATCCCAGAGATGTCAAGCCTTGTAGCATCTGAGCGTGGGGGAAGATTTTGTTTTTGTTGCGGGGATGAGGTGGTTGGGGCATGTTTTTGTAAACTCAGTTTAAACCACACGTGAACTGATCCTACAACATGCCCACTGCACTTTTCCAGGTCGCTCGAAATCACTGGGTCTTACAGTGGCCTGGACAGGTGGTTATCTGTGTCTCCTCCATCTTTTGGACCCAGGAGGTGTCCCAAGCCCTGGTGGAAAATACCTTACCGGTAGGTGAGCTTGCTGCGAAGCTTACAGAAGAGATCCAAGCATCAATTAGGATTTGAATGATGTATAATTAGAGTAGCCATGTTTTGTTGTCTAAACAAAAATCATTTGGACTCATAGCATCACAGACATCAGGGTTCCCATGAGGACAGGGGGATGGAGAATTTGGGATTCGAGCT